GGCATCTACTGGGAGACGCTGGCGAGGTGGATCAACACGCGCGCTCGTCGCGACGCGCGGCGCCTCGGCGTCCCCTTCGTTTTCCTGCAGGCCGTAGACGAGTGCGGCACGATTCAAGGCGACCCAGACGCAGGCCGGCGCCTCCTGAACGTCCCGAACATGCACAAGACGGGGGACATCCACGGCGTCTTACCGGCACACGTCGGCATGGAGGTCCGGTTCACGGCCGCGCAGGAGGAGCTGAAGAAGAAGTTGGGGCTCGTGCAGGAGCAACGGGCCACCATCGTGTCCTTCGAGTTTCACGCAGACGACGAGCGGGACTACGAGGAGTGCGCGCCGGGCCAGCTCTTCCGCCCCCGCTTCCTACCGCAAGGAATCTGGCTGCATGTGCACGGCTTCCAGGAGTCCCCGATCTACAAGGAGGTCGCCGAGGTGCTGCTGCAGGGCACCGAGGGCGCTGACGACGACGGCGAGGCCCAGGCGCGGGCGAGGAGCTTGCTCATGTTCAGGCCCAGCGAGCACGAGTTCACGCGGCAGAGCTCGGGGGCGCACACTGTGCGCCGCTCGGGATTCACGCTGACGCACGCGTCCTACCTGACCTCCACGCTGTCGCAGGGCCAGACGCTGCGCAAGGGCGTCACCATCGACTGCGCCAGGGATGAGGACGCTGGCCGCACGGGCATGTCGGACGATATGCGGTGGCTGCACCTCTACGTCATGTTTTCCCGCGCCACGTGCATGCGGAACATGCTGATCCTGCGGCCGCCCGCGCGAGAGTTCCTGGAGCGCGGGCCGCCGGCGTCACTGCGGAAGGCGCTCCAGGAGTTCGACGAGAGAGCGGTGGACTCCAGGGCTGAAGCGGAGCAGCTCGCGGCAGAGCTGGGATTCGTGCTGCCGCCCGCCTGAGCGCCGCGGCGCGCGCGAGGAGGCCCGCGGGGTTGTCCCAACGGCCTGGCCCGCGGGGTTGTCCCGACGGCCTGCCCTCGCGCTCCGGCGGCCCGCGGGAGTGCCCCGCAGGCATGGCTGGCCCGAAGGGTTGACCCGACGGCGTCGCGATCTGGCCGTCGGCAAACGCGCGCGTTCTGACCGAGGCGGCGACGGCGCCGAGGAAAATCGACTTGCTTCCCCCGACCGGGGGGAAAGGGACGTGCACGTGGAAAAGAGGCAGGAGGAGGAAGAGGACGGAAGGGGCATGGGGAGGGCGATGATGAGGAGGAGGTGGAGAAGGAGGAGGAGGAGGAGGAGGAGAAGGAGGGGGGGGGAAATAGAAGAAGAGGAAAAGATGGCAGAGGAGAGGGCGATACGAGGGTGTTTGCCATGGCCGGGAGGAAAGGGATAAGGGAAAGCTAAACAGATTATCATGTGGGGTCCTTCCGTCGGAGTAATTATGTTGAAGTGCTTGCAAACACACGGTGTTCGCAAACACACGGTGTTCGGTAGGATTCTGACATGAACGCGCGAGTGTGCTCTTTGTTGTATTTTTTGCACAGGATTCGCGGCCTGGGTGCATGACAGAGCATCGCGAGTGCACCGCGCGATGACGTGAAATCGCTGTATTTGACAGAATTCTTAAGATTCCTATGGTTTTCCTATGATTTCAGCAAGAGAACCCGGGCGGGAAATTTGTACAATTTTTGTGAAAAAGCATTGGGTTTTTGATGTTTTTATGTTGAAATGCTTGCAAACACACGGTGTTCGGTAGGATTCTGACATGAACGCGCGCGTGTGCTCTTTGTGGTATTTTTTGCAATGGATTATCGCCGTGGACGACAGGACGTCCATGTCGAGAGGAAAAAATAAGAAACATGCTGATTTTATATTGTTTTTTACAGGTTAGGATGGGACCCCCCGGATGCGGCCCCTAATGGCCGGCCTGAGGGGGGAGTAGGAGTATATTCTAATAAGGAATAAGGATAGGAGTAGGAGTAGGAGTAGGAGTATAGGAGTAGTAGTAGGAGGGGAGGAGGAGGAGGAGGAGGAGGAGGAGGAGGAGGAGGAGGAGGAGGGAGGAGGAGGAGGAGGAGGAGAGGAGGAGGAGGAGGAGGAGGAGGGAGGAGGAGAGGAGGAGGAAAAGGAGGAGGAGGAGGAGGAGGAAGAGGAGGAGGAGGAGGAGCCCAACGCCCCTCGGGCCCGCGGAGGAACCCGACGCCCCGCCGCGCGCCCTGCTGCGCGCGGCGCCGATCGGCCTTCTCGGGGAGGGCGCGCTTGCGGGCTGCGCCTCGTCCATCTTCGGGCTGCCGGAGCCCTTCACGGTTGTAGGCCCGCCCCCCCCCGCCCCTTTCTCGGGCGCAGCGTGAGGGGGGCCCTCCTCATCGTTCTCCCTCGTCATCTTCCCTCCTCTCTCCTCCTCTTCCGCCTGCTCCTACTCCTCCTCCTCGACTCTTCTTTCTGTTTTTGTTTCTTTGGGTACGGGTCCGCCCTAGCGATCCCTAGCGCTCAAGTATGGCAACGCAATGGGGCGGTAGCAGCAGCGGCGGTGGAGAGAGCGGGACAGGGGGGAGACGAACAGGCACCGCCGCGGTCTCAAAGCAGACAGGGCGGGGACAAAGCAGAGGGCGAAAAGGGGACGGGGCAAGAGGGCGGGACAGGGCATCATAGGAAAAGGACGTCTCCGCGGCGTGCACAGGAAGAGGAGGAAGAGGAGGAAGAGGAGAAATGAGGGGAGAGGGGGAAGGAAAAAAACACGTCTCGTCGTGCAGACCCCAAGGGCCGGAAACCAATGACGCTGTTACTGGGTGCTTACGATTGCTTACCTAAAGAAAAGAACACTGTGACAGGGTCTATTCTGGTGCAGATGCCTCTGCGTGAAAAGCTGGGCTCAGTCCGTGCGCAGGACGCGCAGCCAGAAGAAATGGGCGATGGGATCCATCCGGCATTCGCGCGTACGCTGCGAAGCCGAAGCCGCTTCTATGTTTTCCGCTTCCTTGCCTGCGCATCCATCCGTCGATGCAGATGTTGATTGCCTGGCTGCTCGCCGCCCTCAGCAGCGTTTCGTCTCGCCAGGTCCAACAAGTCTCTGTGTCCATCTCTGCGTTCACAAGATGATCTGCTGGCGTGCTACTCTTCCTGCTGCTGCTGCTGCTCCTCCTCCTCCTCCTCCTCCTCCTCCTCCGTCCGCATTTGCCCCCCGCTAAGGGGCAACGTCTGGGGGGGGGGCAGGCTTAGGGGGGAATGCATCAACCCTCAATCGCCCATCCACCGCCGAAAAGGGCCTGATAGCCCGCTTCTCTCTCGCTATCGTGAACCTATCGCCGATCAATCGGCGATGTACCTCCGATTCCAGGTCGATGTTTGGCGTCCTCAGCCAGTCCCGCTGATCGTTGTCGCCCTCGCACGAGGCGGAGGGCAAGAGGATACAGAGGAGGAAGGAGAAGAGGAGGAGAAGGAGGAGGAGGAGGAGGAGGAGGATGACTGTCCGTATTTGGCTATACTTTTCGTGCCAATGTTGCTGTCCAGTATTTCACACGCTCCCCCGTCGATGTCTTCCGTAGATTCAGTACTGCGGCAAAGGTGTTGTTTGGTTTCCTCTCCCACCTCCATGCGCGTCAAGCTTAGTCACTCGGTGCCTTGCGCGCTAATATGATTCCGCCACTTCTGCCACTCTTTATATTCATCTTTGCTTGAAGCTGCGTTCGTGCTTGTATTTTTTACCAGGTCGTGCGCCTGAGCCGTTTGCGTTGTCATCCACGTGCGCGCAGCGATCGCTCGATCCGTCGCTGGACAACGTTGACAAGGCCAGACAACATCATGAGCACGAGGCGAATGGGAGGATCATAGCGCACGAGCTTGAAGCCAGAGGAGCGACATATCCTGATAAAGATACGTTGCAATGCTATCAGTATAATCAAGATTTCTTCGTTTCCCTCACGGGTTGCAGAAACAAGGGCCGCTAAATCATCCAGATTTCTTGGAAAGTATCCTGGGCTAATCGCATCATGGCATCATTCTCGTCCAAGGAGCTCGTCACTGCGCGCGGGCGCATGATCCATACACGCGGGCGCCCAGCCGACGAGTCCGTGACGGTCCTGCGCATCAGCGTTGCGGAGCGCCCCGTGACCATGTGGCCGAAAGAGGTGTGCCACTTGTTGTCCCGCCGCCGCCGCCGTCGTGGTCGTGGTCGTGTTCGTAGTCGTGTTCGTGGTCGTCGTCGTCGTCGTCGTGATCGTCGTCGTCGTCATCGTCGTCGTCGTCGTCGTTGTTGTGTTTCGCCCCTTCTTCTCCACCACCCTGCTGTTTCTCTTCTAGAAACTCCTCTTCCTCTCTCACCTGCCTCGATGGTGATGATGACGATAATGATGTGATTATGATGATGCTGATGATGCTGATGATGATGACGATGATGATGATGAGGAGGAGGAAGAGGAGGAGCAGGAGGAGGATGAGCAGGAGGCGCGTGCGCATGCGTAGGAGAAACATAAGGGGGAGGACGACTAGGACGCGAGGGGGGAGGATGATGGTTAGGAGAAACACGGAGGGGGAGGACGACTAGGAGCCGGAGGGGGAGAAACACGAGGGGGAGTATAAGGCGAGGTTCAGCTCTTCATGAGGGTATCGGTTAGGTTGCATCGCCAGTGAGTCGTCCAGGGGTCCCGGATGGTATAGATGTGGGGCTTGGATGCTGCACCCTCGCCCGCCGCCATCTATTGGGGCCCCCAGGGGCCAAACGCAGGAGGGGGGCCTCCGACGTCTCGCTGCACTGTCCAGCGGCAGGTGTCGCTGCTGGGGTTTCGTGCCTTGCAGCTGCCGCCACCTTCTCCACTTCCACGATTTGCCGAGCCCGCCTGCACGATGATTTGCGACTGCCGCCACCGTGCTCAACGCGTCTTCGCCTGCACGGCGCCCCGCCCCCCCCATAACACCCAGCCATCAGCCTCCACGGCAGCGCATCCGCCAACGCAGCGTGTACCGAGCGCCACCCTGGGAACTATGAGAACTGCTGATGCAGCCCCTCCATAAAGTCAACCCGCATAGCAAGCGCACCCTCGCATCCTTGCCTCCTCGGTCCATCCTGGGCCGCTCTCGTTGGCCGCGCCCCGCTCGACAAGCTTCGAAATGGGCGCCCAACGCCCTCGCATCCTCATCGCGCATCCTTGTGATACGGGCCGACCGTCTCGAACGCCGCCCTGGGAAATATACATAGTTACACATATATATATATACACACATATAAATACGTACATGTATACATCCATGTATGTCTGTCTGTCTGTCTGTCTGTCTGTCTGTCTGTCTGTCTGTCTGTCTGTCTGTCTGTCTGTCTGTCAGTCTGTCTGTCTGTCTGTCTGTCTGTCTGTCTGTCTGTCTGTCTGTCTGTCTGTCTGTCTGTCTGTCTGTCTGTATGTATGTATGTATGTATGTATGTATGTATGTATGTGTATATATATATATATGTATATTTATACACACGAACTGCAGGTGCAGTCTCCCGCTCTGCACGGCGCGCCGCCGCTTCTCGCCTTCTCCCCCCGCCCGCCCGCCCGCCCCCGCCTGCCCCCCCCCCCCCAGCGCCTCGGGCTGCGTCGGTCGGGCCCCGCTCGGGGGGGCCAGCCAAGAGCCGCGCGCGCTCCCGCTCGCACGAAGGCGCAGGGCGCGGGCCTCTCGACGGGACTCCTCGCGGCCTGCTTCCGAGGTGCTGAGCCTTGTTCCCCGCGTGCTTCGTGGGGTTCTGGTTCTCGTCCCTCCCGCGTACCGCCCGCGGAGCTCACGCCTCACCTCTTCTCCTCCTCCTCCTCCTCCTCCTCCTCCTCCTCCTCCTCCTCCTCCTCCTCCTCCTCCTCCTCCTCCTCCCCCCTTTTTCTCCCCCTCCTCCCCCTCCTCCTCCTCCTCCTCCTCCTCCTCCTCCTCCTCCTCCTCCTCCTCCTACTCCTACCTCCCCACACCCCACGCGCAGCACATCGCAACACTTGCACGACACTCCCGATACGGCCGCATACGCATCATACGCATACACATGACACGCCATGTACAAGGCGTATGTGTGGCATTCGCAGTGCATGGCAGGCGTGTTACTTTCTCGACACCAGAGGGGGGTGCGCAGGGGGTCCGTCAGCGCTGTCTCTATGCGTTGCAGGCTCGCAAGGCGTGGCAGGCGTAGCGTTTTCCTTGCACCACGGGGTGCGCAGGGGGTGGTCCCTGAGCGCTGTCTCTATCCGTTTGCAGGCTCGCAGGGCGTGGCTGGCGTGGCACTTTCTCGACACACAGGGGGTGCACAGGGGGTGGTACCTGAGCGCTGTGTCTATCCGTTGCAGGCTCGAAAGGCGTGGCAGGCGTGGCACCTTTCTCGGCGCCACAGGGGGTGCGTAGAGGGTGGTCCGCGAGCGTTGTCTCTATCCGTTGCAGGCTCGCAGGGCGTGGCAGTCGTGGCATTCTTTCGACGCCACGGGGGTTGCGCAGGGGGTAGTCCCTCAGCGCCCTATCCGTTGCAGGCTCGCAGGGCGTGGCAGGCGTGGCATTTTCTCGGCGCCACAGGGGGTGCGCATAGGGTGGTCCCTGAGCGCTGTCTCTATGCGTTGCAGGCTCGCTGGGTGTTGCAGGCGTGGCGTCCTCTCGGCGCCACTGGGAGAGGGCGCAGGGGTGGTGGTGGTCCAAGGACTCTGCCTGTTTCGTTGTTGTTGTTGATACTTTCAAGGTGGGCTCCGGCGCGCAGCGTGCAGCTCACGCTTGATTGCCAGCGTTCGACGATGCAGCTTCTTCTCCAGACTTTGGTCAGCGACAAGGCAAAACTGATGCTGCTCTTTCGTTGCATGTGCTTGGCTCTTTCGCATAGAAGATGGTGTTTGGGTGGGCGAGCGAGGAAGGGAGTCATGGCAGACGGAAGGGTTCATGTGATGGTTCACGCGAGAACAGCAATCTTCCATCGCGGCACTGGCCGCGTCGATGCAACGCTGAAGCATGAGTGGGAGCGCCCCGCCCTTCAGGGCTGGCCATAGTTTCGACGCAGGCTCCTTTCTTTTGTCGCCGCCGCCCCGAGATTTTCTATCGAAGGGCGCTCTCAGAGATTTATCGTCGAAGGGCTTCCTGTCATGTCTTCATCAGCCGCTTCGTACGCAGCTCGGATATTTTCCATCGAAGAGATGACTCGGCTACCGCAGTGCGCGCGCAGTAGCGCGGACCCGGCTGAGAACGAGGAGGCGCATTCAAAACGTTGTTCTTTGGTCCTCTTTTTCAATCTTTTCCTCTCACGCTTACACTCCTGCTCATCCTCCTTGCCCCCGGCCGGGGCCAGAAAGGGTGCAACGTTCGCGACGAAGGTGCAGAACGCAGGACTGCGCATAGATGGTGCTGATCAGCAAACTCATAATGTTTAGATTAAGTATGTGGGGCTCCTCGGTAGCGTATTTAAAACCTGGCCCTATCACCGCGTAAGGGCGGAAACCCTCGAGTCCCCGCGGCCTCCCCGCCTCCTGCCTCCCGCCTCCTGCGCCCTGCGGCTCCCCGCCCTCCTTCCGCCGCCGCTCCACGCCTCCTGCCTCGCTGTTCCCTCCGCGCCCCCTGCCTCCTCCTCGCCTGCCGCCTCGCCCTCCTGTCGGGCGAAAAAATCACTGCGCATCAACGGCTTCCATGGCCAGGCCCACCATGAACCCAGGAACCGTGCATGTGCCCTCTTGGCCAAACCAGGAGGGCTTGGCGCGTGCATTGTTGCTGGGTTGAGGATGGACTTGGCCAGGGAGCAGTGGATATGTATAGATTTCGTCGCCCTATCCTGGAGGGCTGCCAGCAGTGCGCCCCCTCTCCCACCTTCGCGAGCTCGTGGGATGGCCACTCCTCCTCTTCCTGATCGGGCGGACCGCCAGTTCCTCGCAGTCGTAGGCCCATCCCCCCTCTCGGGGGCAGCGTAGTGGGGAGTCCGAGGGAGACGAGGATGGGTCGGTCGCCGCCCTCATTCTCGTCCTCGTCCTCCTGCTCCTGCTCCTGCTCCTCCTCCTCGCCCACATCCTGCTCCTCCTGCTCCTCCTCCTCCTGCTCCTGCTCCTGCTCCTGCTCCTGCTCCTCCTCCTCCTCCTCCTCATCATCATCATCGTCATCATCGCGCTCATCTCCGACGATTTTTTTCAGTGCGGGTGTTTTTGAACTCTCTCTCTCTCTCTCGATTTCGTTTTTTTTTTTTCGGGCCCCCGGGACCAGGAGAAATGGAGGTGGGACGGAACATTGACCCCAGAGGAAGGGCCAGGACTTCTGGGGCAGCGGATTAAAACATCAGCGTCGGAGGTCTGGGACCAAGATCCTCCCCGATCCGCCTCCTCGATTTTGGCCGCCAAGTCCAGGGTTGGGGTGCACACGCGACGACGGGAAAAAGGTGGCAGACCTTCCCGCCCACCGTTCGATCGCTGCGTGCCTGCGAACACGCGGTCGCCTTGGTCAACCCCATCCCTATCCGCACACTCAGCCCCTATCATCATTCGCATCACCATCCCAATCCCCATGTGTATCTTCGTCCTCATCGCCATCCCCGCTTTCGTCCTCGCTCCAGTCACTGCCCTCGCCCTTGCCCTCTGTGTCGTCGTTTCCTCGTCGTCGTCATCGTCGTTGTCGTCGTCGTCGTCTTCGTCGTCGTCGTCGTCCCTGTCTTCATGCCAGTCGTTGTCCTGGTTGTCGTCGACCGTCACGTGCGCCCCGGTGTCCTCCAGCTGGCTTTTGGTCCACAATTTGGAGCCGAGGCGGCCGTTTGGGACGGCTCTGGCCTCCCGGGAGCGCTCCCGTGGAGGCGCAGCCGCTGGAGACCGCGCAGGGCCCCGAGAGCTCCCAGAAACTCACGGGATCATTCGGCGGTGGCGGTCGTCTTTCGGCGGCGAGCGAAGGGGAACTGAGGAGGAGAAGGACCTCTTGAGATGCGGCGGGGCTTCTCAGAGGCCCTCGCGCTTTCTGAGAAGTTTCCAGTGCCTTCGGGGAAGGCTCTCAGAAGACTGCTTAGAGGGCCGGGGACTTCCGAGCGGTGGGAAGGGCTTCTCAGAAGGCGGTGGGGCTTCTCTGAAACCCTCGCGCCTTCTGGGAGGGTTTCCGTGTCTTCGGGGAGGGCTTGGGGCACCTTCTCAGAAGGCCAGGGGATTTCCGAGCCTCCTGGGAGGACCCGCTCCCCCTTTCACTTCCCCTAGCCCTAATGACATGCTGAAGACGTGGTCTCACTAAGGTCCCCGTCTTGGCATCAAGGATCATACTTCTTGGCGGTTTGGGTTGGTACATCTTCAGAACAAAAACAAACAACCTCTATCCCTAACGTTTCGGGCCCTCCTGACGTAGGCCCCCTCCCACCGGGTGAGGGGCCCTTCGGCTGCTGATCTTCCTCCCCCCCCCCCCTGGGGCTGGCCGCCGAGCCTCCCTCGCCCGCGCCCGGGCTCGGCCGACGCCGAGCCAGGTGGTCCGGGCCCTGCACGAGGCCATCAAGCTGCAGGCCGAGTGGCACGGCGCCCGGGCCCAGCTGGCCGCGTCGGCCGCCTCGACCACCAGCCAGCTGTTCGGGGACTGCCCGGGGCGAGGCGGGGGGGGGGAGGGGAAGGGGGGGGACGTGCCTGGAGCGGAGCGCGCAGGGGAGCCTCCCCGGGGGAGGCTCGAGGATCGTCGCATCCTCGGCTCCTCGACTCTTCGGATCCTCGAACCCTCGACTCGAGGGAGTGTCTCCCAGGGGAGCCTCGGCGATCCTCGCACCTCCCCTGGGGAGATTCGAGGAGCGCCGAGGCTCCTCTGGGCGTCCTCGTGCGTCCCGCGGCGCCGAGGTTCTCCCCCCCGTGGCCGCGGCCAGACGCGCCCCGCGGAGTTCTGGCCAGAGCGCAACGCGCCACTGCACAGGCCCAGGGGTCGATCTCTTTGGACCCCCCGCGTCGGAGGAGGAAAAGGTACCCATGCTTCTACCCTTCCCTCGTTTTCTCCTTTTTTGAGCCTCCAGGGAGGATCTCGTCGCCACCGCTGGATTCGCCTCGGAATCCTGGTCAGAACGCGCCCCAGGAGAGGTGTGGGGAGTAGCGGTATCGGTACCTTTTGGTGTCCCCCACGGAGCACCTCGTGTCAGGTCGGGCGTGTCCCCTCTACAGGAGGACTATTCAAAGATAGTCAAACAATAGTCCAGGGACGATTTTTTTTTTGCATGTTCTGGCTATTTTTCGGCATCTTGGGAGTATGTTTGATCTTTCGCCCAGGATCCGCCGGTAGTGGCAGGCCTAAAGGTTGACACCAACACTAATATCGGCGGTGTGCCTCCACCGAGGGAAGAAGATCTCGATATCGGTGATGGTGGTAATATTCTGGCTTCCAAGGTGGCCGATATATTACCACCAACACCGAAACCTAGGATCATCTCCCCCCTGTGGAGGCAAACCCCTGTGTTGGTGTTGGTGCCCATTTCCAGTCCTCCAACGTAGGGGGACGTGCCCGACCTAAACCTCGTGCCGCGGAGCAGCAGTAACGGCGCACGGTCTGGCGCCCTGCTCTCGGCCTCCTGGGCCCCGGGGCCCGCTGCCAGGCCCCCAGGGGCCGTCAACAAAAAGGGTTCGGGGCGGAACACCGGCCCCTCGGGGGTTGTCCTCCTCCTCCTCCTCCTCCTCCTCGTCCTCCTCCTCCTCCTCCTCCCCCTCCTCCTCCTCCTCCTCCTCCTCCTCCTCCTCCTCCTCCTCCTCCTCCTCCTCCTCCTCCTCCTCCTCCCCGTCTCTGCATCAAGGATAATAATTCTTGGCAGGGGGAACCCCTGCCAAGAAACGCCCTGCTTGCCTCCGGGGTGCCCTGGGTCTCCTGGGTCTCGATGGCTCTGCGATGGAACTCGCGTGACGCTCCCATGCCACGAAGCAGTAGACGTCCTGGGGTCTCAGGATTGGGGTTTCTTGTGGAAGGTCTCTTGTGGTCGAGCTCCTGCTGTAGGGCCGTTTTGGGAGCCGCGGGGGTGCTGTCGGGGCTCTCTCTGGGCCCTCTCGGGGGCCTTTCGGGAACTTCGTGGGCTATCCGGGAGGGCGGCGGCACGGATGAGCGCTCCCTCCGGAACCGGGTCGCCTCTCGGAGCCCTCTTGGGGCGCTCGTGCGGTCCTGTCCTGGGGCTCTCTTCGTTGTGCTTGGGGCAGTGTTGAAGCTTCGAAGGCCCCTCGGGAGCGAAACGTCGATATGGACAAAACAGTGTTCTGGTGCTTGAACTCTTGTAGGTATGTTGGAGGGCGTCTTGAGCCATCTTGGACAGTTTTGCGTCATCTTGCGTGCCATTCTGAGATTTCAGAGGCCATCTCGGAGCTACTGGCTCAAAACCCTCCCAAGGATGCCCCCGAGATGCCGCCCTTTCTGAAACGCCTATGGTTTTTCAACGGCTTCGAGCGAATGGGGCGGCGCCGATTAGGGCTGTCTCTCTTGAGCCCGAAAAACGCCTCTTGGGACTGTCTTGTGACGCTACCGGGGTGCTCTTGTGCGCTCGTGGGGCTGTCTTTGAGCCCTCAGTCCACTCTTGGAGCTCTCTGGGGCAATCTTGGGAGCCAGTTTGGATCTGGGCGAAAAGGCGAAACAGGCACACCGCATGGATGCCACGTAGGTTTTGGGAAGGATTTGGCCTGTTGGGGGATCGTTGTGAGGATCCGTGGCCACTCTGAACCGTCTGGGAGCGCTCATGGATACTTCTGGAGGCATTTTCGAGGCTATCTTCGACTATCTTGCACTGTTTTTGTCAACTGTTTCAGACAATCTTGGGCTATCCAAAGCTTGGGCCATCTCAGACGCTCTAACCCCGCGCGGTGCGGTCAGCCCATGGGGGAAGTATGGGGAAGGGGAAAGCTCCTCATCGAAAGTGCAAACTCAGCGTTGGAAGAATGCGTCAAGCCAGGGGGTTGGTGGGGATGGGACATTCGGAGGGGATGGGGATGGGGAGGACGGCCGCATAGGAATGTGATGGGGTTTGGAACGGACGAGAACGTGCAGGTGAACGTACGGGGGATTAGGAGATTGATGATCAGGAGGAGGACGAAAAGGGGAGGAGGAGGAGGATGAGGCGGAGGAGGATGGAGGAGGAGGAGGAGGATGAGGCGGAGGAGGAGGAGGAGGCGGAGGAGGAGGGTGAGGAGGGAGGAGGGGAGGAGGAGGATGAGTGGATGATCAGAAGGAGGAGGAAAAGGGAGGAGGACGAAGAGGGGAGGGGGAGGAGGAGGAGGAGGAGGAGGAGGGAGGAGGAGGAGGAGGAGGAGGAGGAGGAGGATGGGAAGGATGAGGAGGGGAATGAGGAGGGAAAGGAGGAGGAGGAGGAGGAGGAGGAGGAGGAGGAGGAGGAGGAGGAGGAGGAGGAGGGGAAGGAGGAGGGAAAGAAGGAGGAGGAGGGAGGCCGCGTCCGGCGAACCCTCAGACCGTCATGAACCAAGAGGAGGATGAGGAGTGGAAGGAGGAGAACGAGAAGGAGGAGGAGGATCCAGGAGGACCGAGGAGACTCGAAGAGGAGGAGGAGGATCGAGCAGCATCGAGGATAATGACGACGACGAGCAGGATGATGATACGGATCATGATGCAGATGATGATGCTGATGCCGATGCTGCTGCTGGTGATGCTGC